ATCAGATATATGCTCTGTGGTTGTTCAAACGCTACATAAAATCCTCATCTTTATCTCTATCATGGTTCCTCACCTACACCAACAGATGACCCTCACAGAGTCTTCTCTATCCATCTAAACTTCGACAGAACAAATCTTTACTTTCGGATTTAAACTTCACCATTACACCATTTTTCCATGGCCTCTCAGCCCCTCATCCCTGTTCCACACAGCTCCACCCTTTCTTCTGAAGAAAAATATCCTTATCTATCACGAGCAGGTGATAAGTCTTGAGAAAGCGTCACTGTGCAGCACTTCTCCTTATTGATATCTGGGATCTACTAAGTCATCCACACCATCGCCGAGTGCACTACCCTCTGGTCCCTTCAGCCCTGAGCAAATCACGTTAGCCCTTCTTCCTGCAGGAGCGCCCTGGGGTGAGCTACATGAATAACATCTATCAACACCCTCAAGTGGAATGCTTGAGGTTTGGGGAAGTGGGGATCTTAGCTGTCAGGCGAAAAGTGTTACAGGCAACACTACTATCTAATGGCTGTGGGTGTGAGAGTGGAGATAAAGTGTGTAGGTGGTTGGTTTGGTGCGTGTAAAAAGGAAGCGGAGGGATCAGGGATTAATTGCTCAGGGATTTACGATCGCAGTTTCAGGTCTGTAATATGATAACACCGATTAATTATTGCAGTAACAAAGGATGTTTTTCTGTCAATATTGCAAGGAAGTAAAATGACAGCAAAAACAATGGGGGTAGAGACAGGGAGGACGTATAAAAAATGGCCTTGCTTCATTAAGAGGCAGAGGTAAGGAACAAATTATGGAGAGATAATTTACTATGTGACGGGAAGGGAAGGAGAGGAAAAAAAAAAAAAAAACTTAATCTTTGTCCGGCTTTCGTATTCTCTACCGTCTTCCTCCTGTCTTTCTCATTTGCTACTTCACAGATTCATCCCTTTTCTGCTTTTAAAATTTCATGACTGAAAATAGGTAATTTAATCTTCATTAAACATACAAGGCTCACTTTCTACTCTGCCTGAGCGAATTAACTAGTAGACCAGGGGCAGAATAGACACTGGGGTTCAAATCCCATAACCCTGGCACGCTTTATATCGCCGCGCCTGTTTTTAATAAGCCATTTCTCCACAAATCAAAGTCAAACAGGAATCCCTGAACCCAGGGAAACTTTTGATGGACGAAAGAATGAAGGTGAAAGCCCAGGAAGGGAAGGTTAGAGATTTTAATGACTTGGAAAGGCAGTAAATAAATAAAATTGTCTCCCTCAGAAATCTGATTGATGTGCCTTTTGGGATGCCCCATATGAAAGAGCTACTCAGCCTGTGGCTTTCATCTGCGACCAGAGAAATCGATGCCAAGGATGTATGAGCAGCTACCTGTCTCTATCCAACAATCTCTTAGAGTGCCCTTGGCATTCAAACAGAAGATTTTTAGTGCGGAGTGGACCAGAGGAAGCCTTCATCACAAAATACCACTTTCAAGGTTACCCTTGAGATCAGTGCAGAACCCTAACACAAGCAAAAAAATATGTAGAAATCCACTGTCAAAAGTTTCTAAATGCATTGGCTGTAAGACTAGGAAAACCATATTTGCCATATCAATACAAATAATTACATCTCAAGTCTTTCAGTGGAACACTCGAAGAGTGTACACTCCACATCAAAGCAACAACTGAAGGCCATTAAACTGAAGAAAAGTCACCGAAACACAATGTGCTACAAGTCAATTCATGCTATTGTGTAAGCCACAGTATCTTTGTTATACTTTTAGTGGGCAAAGCTAGGAATACTGACAGCATTTACAAAACCTGATAGCAAAATATAGGTCAGATCTGACCAGGGATCCTGCAATAAATCGGTCTTTCAGACCTCTTTTTCCTCCACTGAGTTTCAAATTTGTGACACTATTTAAAATGGATTACCCATTTACCGTATCTCTACTGGCACAGTGCTTGGGTCTGATCTTGAGCTGAAACGGCTGCATGCTCATGGTCGTGTTACCATGTTACCCAAGTAAAAGGCAGTCTGCTGCCCTAAGGCTGTAGCACGCTGACCTACATCAATGCACCAATGCTTCAGAGCCTAATTAATAGAACTTGTAAGCCTAGTAACCATTTTGTCATGTTTGGCTGGTTTCTTTATTGTTGCATGCATGATTAATGCAACTATACTGCAAATGCTAAATGACAATCATTAAATCATTTGGGCTGGAGATGAGGAGCATGCTATTTTGTTTAAGGATTCTGCTCATCTAAAGCTGCATTTTAAAGGGATAGTTCACCCAGAAATGTCATCATTTCCTCCGCACTTCTTTTGCAGAAAACAGAAGAAGATATTCTGGGGTCACTGGAGTCCAAACAAAATTGTACTTTTGGGTGAACTATCCCTTTAACTACAAATCCTAAGTAGCTTCTTGGCAAGCTACAGTTTCAAAGTAGCTTCTCCACAAAGTGTTAAAGCAGATGCCTGTCCTCAAATAGATCCTTTTTCACAGAGGCACATCCAAAAGTGTCCTAAAGTAAAGGTGTCTTAAATTATTAAATCAATTCTTGCTAGAACACTTACATTTTGAGTAAATCCATAACATATCTAATTAACGTTGCCTTTAGTTATTGGTTAATAAATTGTTAGATCTCACTCGCCAGTGATTGAGCTAGAAGCTAAGAATCAGTTCAGCTGAGACATTTTCACTGCATGTTGTGTCCTACTACTGCTTTACACTAGAACACTCTGACAGTGTCTGACAGAAAAAAAATAGATTAGCTAATTTATGAGGGTGTGGAAAGTGCCGTTCAGTATTTAAATAAAGTGGTAATACAATGAATTGTACCACAGTCAGCTGTGTTTTCCCTCTCGGGATTTATAGTGCATGATTCCCATTGATATCAATGGATTTGCAATGTAATGTAAACTCAAGTTTGTAGGTGCACACTCACAGTAGCTTTATTGAGAGAACTAGCTTTCGTCTCTTTATCTCAAATGCACACAAAAAGAAAGAGAAAGCGAAATAGTCTTACAGTACATGCTACATAGAATTGACACTCTACATGCATGTGGTACTCTTTACTGTGTTTTACTGTCAAAATGACAAAATTCTTTGGAGTTAATCATTATTTTAGCCTTTTGTATCTTTAAGACGAAGCAGAAGCCACTTCCTACTAGTTCCATCCTATTCGCTAACACTCACCCATCACTGTCCACACTTTGATTTCAGCAATTCAGTTCAAATGAACGTGATTAATATTCATGAGCCTAGCAGCCTGTCAGACCTTAGCACATTTTATATTATTATTATTTGTTGAATTTGTAATATTATTTTAGGACTATTGCTAGTCTTTTTAAAGAAACAATTCTCAACAAACCCCACTGATCCAGACGCTGAATTCATACTGATATATTCAGAATGGTTCATGTAGCATTAAAACAGCAGAAAGCTACAAGATAAAACACATTCACTGACATCATAAATAATGTACATATTCACCAAAGGGCTCAGTGTGGTACTGGATATGCTTTATACAGGCATTTCTGTAGCTGTGCCATTCAAAGGTGTGCAAAGCATAATGGTGAGGGGAATCTGTTTCGTGCACACATTAACAAGTAATTTCAGGCATATAGAATATAAGAAACTGGCATACACACACTTTAAAGACCCACACAGACTCTGTGTGCGATAAAGCTCTATCAAAGTGGTTCTAAAGCAGGCCAGGGCAGAGAAAGGCTAGAATCTATTAAAAAGTGAGAATTTTTGGTGCTCTGTGCATGGGATGACACTTAAACAGAATGGCAAGCTTTATAGGAAGAGTAAAGAGAGAGAAAAAAAATCCATGAATGGGAATTAAGGAAAGCAATGACCCTTCAGACAGATCATTTCTATTCGCCTTTCACAGGCGTGGACGTGCTGCCATGCTTCATCACTGCAAGGGTGCGCTAGTTAGGTCATCTACCGTAGGATGGCTAGAAACAGGAGAAACTAGCCTGAGCTTCAACTACTGGAGAGAATACAAAGGAATGTCTGCACTCCCAGATCAAAAGTTGATTTCCTCAAAAAGAATCTTACCTAATATATGTGAACAAAACATCTCATCACACTCTTAGATAATGCTCAAATCAATGCACTGATGGAAATCTTGTTGGGAGTCAAATATTTCTAAGGCTTTGTTCACACTGCACTTAAATCAGATTTATTTTTTCAAATTTATTCTTTAAACACAGACATGTTGCAAGTAAAGAAATTAAATCAGACAGTTCAGACAAATGTTCCCTCCGCTCATGTCCATTATAAATGATCGTCTATAGCTATGTCCAAGTTCACTCATTTTAGCTCTTTACTCATTACACGTCATATTTTTACACGTTGACAAAAAAATGTCAAAAAATGACAATTTATTTTAAAATCCTTATTAAGTAAACCACAAACAACTGGAAAAGTCATGGAATCTATGATAGCCACTTGCCATTTGTACCTGTTTCACTTGTACCTTCTTTATTTTTATATTGCTTGTAATTTTTACTAGCCATTGAGTTGTTCATCCGCACCACTTAATTCTGATTATAACACTTTTATAACTGTGTTTCATTGGCTCTGTGTTGAGATTCAACAACAAAGATGGATCTAAACTATTTCATGCATTTTGCATGATGTTATGCGTCTATATCCGATTTGGCCATTCAGGCTGAAAAATTTCCAAAATGTGCATATTAATATGTTTTGATTAGACTTTGTAAAAATTTGATTCTGATATTCAGACTACAATCAATTAAACATATTTGAGTTGAAAATGCCAAAAAAACAAACAAACAAAAAAAATTCTGATTTCAGGCAGCCTGCCTGAACAAAGCCTAAGAGAGAAAGCTATCTGTACACATCCAGTTGTGGAGCTCAGTATAGTTTGTTTAGAGTTCAACCAAAAATTGTTTCGAGTCCAGGCAATAAGCAAGTGTTATAGGGAGAACAGCAGGGCGAGTGGGGTAAACATAGGGTCATTTTGTTACCATGGTTAGCACCTGGCCACCGAGGTGCAGAACAGGAAGGGCTTTGATCACCTGCAACGATGACGAAGTGGAAATTGACAGAAAAAGAGAGAGAGAGAAAAAGAGGGAGAGACGTCAAACAAGAGGTATTTCAGGAGTTCGTAACCAATTATCCACTCTGAAACTCTCAGTGTTGTCAAACCTCAGCCCACACACTCATCAGAAAAAGAAAGAGAGAGAGAGAGAGAGAGAGAGAGAGAGAGAGGACGAGCGACACTCAGCACAAGAAAGCGAGAGGAGAGAAAGAGACAGAGTATGAGAAAGAAGAGAGAGAGAAAGAGCACTGGTGAGGTTTAATCTACACACTCGCTTCTCTCCTAAATGTCAGTCTTATTCAAACAGATGTCAGGGAGACTGGGCCACAGAGCTGGATGGAGTAGGTGAGCTCTGAGCATGCAGCTCTCTCTTCCTGGCGGCAGCTGGTTGGCAGGCTCTGTCAGGGGGCAGCGCTTGGGGGCCTCGCAGCCCCACTGAGTGGGAGACAGGTTTGATACAGCATGACACCTTACTTATTCATGCCCTCTTATTAGACCTCCGCACTGACACAAGGGATCATGGGAAGAACTTTTTTTTTGCAAGATGAGATGAAGTGAAGCCAGAAAAACAGTGCAGGGACAAATCAGCGCTGCTGAGCATGCTGGTATATGGAGATGAGGTACACTGATGTGGCGATCTAAAGTTTCCCCCATGCATTTCCTCCTGATGTCTTTTGGCATGTTTTTCTTATCTGGCTTTTCTAATGATGCTGAGGTTTTCTTTTTTTTTTTTTGTCGGTCACAACATATATCTCACTACATCCCAGGAGGATTTCTAATGACACAAATGGGTTTATGCACTGTAAGCATGCAAGGACAAGGACTTTGGGAAAAGAGTGACTTATTGGGGACATCGTACGAGGCTGTTCTGGAAAGCTACAGCAGTTATAGACACTTGTCTGCCCGTCCTTGGCATTTCAATTCGAACGTAGCACCTACAGCAGGTGGTCTGCTTCTCCTCCCTTGGGTCAGAGCGATTCATCATGGAAGGATGGAATACGTTAACATTAAGATTATGTTAAACCATCCTCCAAGGACCCAGAGTCTACAATCAATTTCTGTAATCAGTGACTTATGAATGGTAATGTGGTAATGAATCCAATATGAAAACAGTTTTGAGGCGGAGACCTACAGAAGGGCAATAAACTGAGCCAAATTTTACAAGTGTTACTTCGGGTTTTATGTTGTTGAAGGAATAGTTCACCCAAAAATTTACATTTAATCTTTCTCACACCAAACATAGAATGACTTTTTTGTTCTGTGGAACACAGAAAGATAATTTTTGAAGAAAGTACACTACTGTTCAAAGGTCAAAAGTTTGGGGTTATTTATTTATTATATTATTATTATTATTAAAAAATCTTAATATATTTTTTTAAAACTCTGATACCTGTACAATGAGATATTAGAATCGTATTACTAAAATATCATGTGACACTGAAGACCGCTGATGAAAATACAGCTGTGACATCACAGGAATAAATTCCATTTTAAAATATAATTAAAAAAATAATTAATTGTAATAATATTTCAGAATATTACAGCTTTAACTGTATTTTTAAACAAATAAATGCAGCCTTGGTGATCATAAAACACTTTCCAAAAAATAACTAAGCATAGGAAATGTGTTTTAAAAAGTATGCAACAGCACCATTAAAGTATCATAAAAGTACTTCATATGGATAGTGCATTATACAAGTCTATTGAAGGTGAACAGGTTTATTTGAGGAACAGACTGAAACTGAAGCTACTTTATGGTGCTTTTGTGTCCTTTTCAAAGCCAGAAAGCTCTAGTGCACATTCTTTGTACTTCCATTAAAAAATAACAACAACAACAGGTACATACTTCAAAACATCTCCATTTGTGTTCCACGCAAGAAAGGTCATTCAGCTTTGTAAAAACATGAGGATGAGTAAATGATGACAAAATCATCATTTGTGGGTGAACTATTCATTTGAAGGCAATGTGAAATGTAAAGCAAGAGGAGGTGCAGGTATAAGCAGTCTTACCATTGCGTGGGGTTCGTTTCCTGCGGTCACGGAAGGCTGCTCCAGACTGCAAGGCCTCCATCAGACTGTCCATCACCCCTGTCTCGTCACCTTCTGTAGAGAGGACAAAGTTGCCTGTCAGAGCTCAGTTCCATGTACAACACATTCACATAGACTCCAACTCACATGCACAAATCCACACACTGTGGTCAGGCTACTAAAAAGGTCAGGCTACTAAAAACTGAGTGTGGGAGTAAAAGGAAAAGCGAAAACAGAACAGCAATAAGGCAAGGCAAATGGGGCAGAGGGTAAAGAGAACAGCGCGGCTCCCTAAATGCACGAATGCTTCGAGGCGGCGGCTAACATATGGAGAGGTGCCAGAGGATGAAAGTGTTCACTGATGGCCATTGACAGGTATTCGCTCTGCGACTTGCACAGGGGAGCTAAGTGCTCTTTACCAAGATTTAGTGTGGAGCCGGTCAATACAGGGGCTTTTTATCATTGTTCGATGACAGTGGGATGTGCCTCGAAAATGGTCGTGCCACCGAAGTGCAACGCGTCTTTTGACTTCAAAAAGACAATGAGGCGTGTGGCTCATTGACAAATTGCAGGGAGAAACAATCAAATTTACGATTTATTCATTTCTCTCAGCAAAATATGGAGGAATAAGAGACACTTTAATTGTCTAATACAATTTTTTAAAAATCTTTTTAATTGCCAACATTCCAGAAATATGATGATACCCTTGCAGTGTGATGTTATAAAGACGACACCTCATTATGATAATGTATCAATTAAATAAACACATAATTAAAGAAAAAAATATATAATTAAGATATTATTAAATAATATTTAAAATAATATATTTAAAATTTTATTTTACATAATCATATAATCAATACAAAATCAATAAATATTGATTAAATATCAGATTACATATGTTACCTCATTCCTTAATATGCAGTCGCATTCTTCCACAACTTAATATACTGTATTTCCTTGACTTCCACTTGTAAACTTTCAAAGCAATTTTTTTCTTGCATGGGCATATGGCGCAGAACATCTAAAGCATCGGTAAACGATGGGGTTCAGAAATAATCTTTGGGTCTTTTATCTGGGTCATCTATCTTTACCCAGCATTAATGAGACTGAGGGTCCCCACTATATCATAGTGGTCCAGCAGAGGCATTATTTTAAACTAGAATCATTATGGTGACTTATTGTTGCGTGTGGGATTGTTTCATCAATTCTTTTGTGTATACGATCAAGCCGTTCTGTGGAAATATTTAGTGAATGGGTTGGGATTCGACGTCTGCCTTGGCAGAGAGAAAACGTCTGTGGCGGAGATGCCGGTAGCTTTAGGCAGCAGTTTCAGGCGTGTTAATCAATCTTTTGTTTCCTCGCGCATTCAAAGTAGATGACAGTCAGCAAATTGAATTTACAAAGAGGAAGAAAGTTGACACGGCTAGATAATTAATTTCAGAAAATGCCACACACTCGCTACACTGAGGCAGAACTGCACAAGTGCATTTTCCGCTGGAAGCAGCAGCGCGAATACTTATACGTTAAACACACAAAGGCAAAATATTATGATTAAAAAGAATAAACAAACAGTAGCAGTGGGATAAAATGAAAATAAAACGATTCATGTTCTTTTCAAGCCTGGCTTCTACTGTATCGTTTTCTCAAAAATCAAAGCAGCGGTTCATACAGTGTGCTGTGTTTAATAGCCACCCAGATTAAATCAAGCTAATTAAACTAGCTGTTCCAGAACAAACCAGAGCAGAACAAGCATGGCTTATCTCTAATTGCTCTTCAACACCTTGGCAGATAGCTTTGCTCATTGGTTTAAACCAGGACATGCATCTTGCTGGCTCCTTCCACCGAGCATGCCATCGTCCTCTGAAAGCAATGACAGTTCCTAAAGTAGCTGCATCCCAAGTTTGCGTCCCCAAAACACGTCCACATCCATCTGACGCCCAAGCTAGGTGTTCAGGGGGCAGGTAAACATTTATTACGGGCACCATGATTTCGGAAACTTCTCGACAGCTCCCTCATTTCCTTCGTTTTGGAGACCTAGACATCACAAGGGGCACCTGACACTTTGATCAATTTGTCCTACTTCTTGCTTGCTTAACTGTAACACAATTCATCATCTGCAATGGCCAGGACAGGAGAGCTGGGAAGGCTGGGTTCACAGGATCTCAGACACGAGAAAGCAAAATTACTAAAACGGGAAACATGCTCCCAAGCGATCCATGACTGCTCCATTAACAATGTCCTGTTGGGCCATGCTTCCACAAGAACCAGCTGGACTCTTGATCTCTCCACATGGATCTGAGAGGAACTGCCAGAGCATGTGGTCTACATTATTTCTCTGTCTCATCAGTGTAGGATGTTTTAAAAGCAGAGAATCTATTAAAAGAACTGGAAAACCGAAGATGTCTGATGCAATATTATTCAAGGAACACATTTAAAGTTAACTCTAAGATCAATCAACAACACTGTGCCCTTTTTGCTTTGTGACAAAACTCAGGACAAACAGTCTTCAAGGAAACACAACAAAAACTTTTAAAACAACTGAACAAACACAACATATACATATACACAACATAATATTATTGTTTTGGGAGTGTGAAATTAACCAACACAACCACCAAAATCACTTTTGCCATTATCATAATCATGGCATATTAATTTACACGCTCTTTTGCTAAAGACAGCATAAATGGGCTAGCAACAAATTACTCATGTAAACAACTTCCTTTCAGTTTGACAGTCTGTGCAAACACTCAGATTATATATTTAAAATATATGGATAAATATGACAAATTATTAATATTTATTGCTGTATTGGTGCATATATAATTTTAAATATCATTTTTCCTTGTGTGAAAAACACTTTGGAAAACATGTTTTGATTAACAAAATTTTCCTTCTGGTTAAAAATATGGTTACTCTTACTCCTTTGGCCATATCAGTGAAAATGTATCATTATTGAGATTTAAGATACATATATATGCTGTTTACAAAATATATAAAATGTTTAGCCATACCACCCAGGCGTATTTGCAAAGAAGTGTTTCAGACAACTAACTTCAACAACATAAAGTGAACTCTTGTAACAGCTAGCCTTGTATCTATATCTTCTCTGTTGTCAGTCTCTTTCTGCTACCTATCTCTTTACTGTCTGGCTATCAGCTGGTTCTCTGCCCCTCAGGCTCCTGCCAAATGTACCAGAAATACCCTGGGGCCCTGTTCAGTCTCTCCAATATATTTATGGGTGCACTATCACATTTTTAATTAGGGGATAACAAGCACAGCCCTCTGCCGGATTTGTGAACTTCACACATCAGATTAGCTTCCCCAACAAGCACCCTGGCAGAGGGTAGGAGCTTATCTTCTACGGCACAGGGGGAGAGAAATGGGGGAGGAGAGAAACAAAGTCAAGTGTCACAACGCGTAAGAAGAAGCAGTGGGGGAGAAGGGTTAGTGTGTTAAAACACAAGCTTGTGTATTCTCATAGTGTGTGTGCAAGTGTGGCATCACAACATCTGGAGGACTGAGTCATGGAGAAGGGCTGCCGAAGCGAGACTGCGCAGGTCTTAAAACCCCCAGTGAGACACTCAACGGAGCGGACTGGCTGACATTTAATTATTTCTACAACGTATGCACGTGCACGCTCGGCCTCTCACACTCGCTCTCTTCCTTTCTCATAGCTGGTATCAACACCATGCGTCTAGTAATGCTTGTGTGCCACTGTATATGTAACTGAGCTTTGCTAAAACACTGACTTTGCAGCAAATCATCAGGATTAGGAGATTACGGTGTATATGAAATCGCCCCATACACCAGAGTGTTAACAGAAGCAGAAACTGTTTTTGTTAACAGAAGCAGAAACTGTTTTCATCTGCTGTGTCACAATGGCATGACCAGGGTTCAGTCTGTTTAAGACTGCGGCGGGCTGAGGATAAAATGTTACGGTGATGTATTCATCATACATTAACGCCAGTCAAATGGAGGGACTTAAAAGAGCCAGATGTCTTTCGTGTCACTAAACTGTCAGTCAAATGCCAAACCAGCTTTGAAGAACATAAAGTCCTATAAATAAACAAAAGGAAGCAGTATGACTACTGAAGTACTAAGTTGCTAATTTATTTTATAAGAAAAAAAGCAAAATAAATACATTTAAATGGAAGTTGTAGCCACTGTTGCTCTTTATTACGAAAACAAACAAAAAAATTACTTGCAGTTTCTTTGTAACTGTTTGTAAAATCTACTAGTAATTTCTGAGTGAAAATTGCTTTTTTGCTCCTTTTCTTAGTGAATATCAATTATGCAGCAGTGCCAACAAGCCCTGTTCATAAATTCAACCTGCTATCTGTCCACAGTGTTGAACGAAAACAAGGAGGATCGATTGAGAACTCATTTTCTGTTGGTTCTCAAGAAGACAATTGCTCCAGGGAGGCTAAAACGCACAAAACTTTCGCCTCTTAAATCTAAACAACAAAGACCCATCCAGAGGACATTATATCTATTACTGTGTCCTCCCAGTGACCGGCCTACAGCCATAGACCCCAAGCTCTCATTTCCACATTAATAAAAGCTAAAAAGCATCTTAAAGCTCCCTGCTTGAAAAAATATGAGCAGTGTCCACCATCTTTGTCCCTTCTTGTCCTTCAGTTTTTTTTTGGAAAGCATGTTAATCTACCTGTCACCCTGGAGAAATGCACCTGTGCAATTAACCTTGTGCATACGTTGTGAACAAAGCCCTGCGTCGAGGAGCCAGGTGCATCTTGTTTCCCTCCTGCCACTCTTTGTCTGAGAGATTCCCTTTCACCGCAGCAACTGAGAGTGCATTAGCAGCAGAGTCAACAGTCCTGCCGGTTCCAGCCTCGCACCTGTTATGAGGTGCTGTCTCTCTGGAGGATCTGACACGAGATATGACACTGTGACCTGTCAGCTGGCCTGCTGGAGTGAGAGCTCCAAAGCACGCCGAGAGAATGAGCCCGGACTCGGGAGTAATGAAGAAGATGGATGTGGCACCAGACAGGCATTTTGGAGCGTTTTGCTGGAACAGCTTGATGTGAAAACCCACTTATGTCTGTGTGTAA